TCTGAATACTTAGGACCATGTGATATTTCAGTTTTTCTTTTTTAATAAATCTGCAAAAATGTCAACAATTCTGTGTTTTTCTGTCAATATGGGGTGCTGTGTGTACATTAATGAGGAAAAAAAATTAACTTAAATGATTTTAGCAAATGGCTGCAATATAACAAAGAGTGAAAAATTTAAGGGGGTCTGAATACTTTCCGTACCCACTGTATATATATATATATATATGGACAGGGCTAATAGGATAGAAACTGAATTTTGAAAATAATGAGGGAGCTCAGCAAACAGCCATCATGGATTTAGGTTAGGATTGAATACAAATTACTTTCCCTAAAGTTGCTACTATAGTATTCTATTTAAAGATACACAGTCATTTCATCAGTTTTGCACAAGAAGAAATAATAGTATGTGTGAAAAATATTTTTGAAATGATGTAGGCCCTCATGAGAAGAGTCATATCAGAAGTTTGATAACAAATGTTTTATTCTAATTGCCTCATGGAGGCTTCCATGTTGAGACCACAAGATCAGTCAAATACTACTTGGTTTATCTCCATAATACTGGAAACTTTTGCTTGAAGAATAAATGTGATATATGTGAATGTGCATGTCTACTATGGCATGGGTAACTGAAAACCATAGCTTTTATGAGATGATATGACTGAGTGCACCTTTAAAACTGAACTGCAATCTGGACCAGTGGTCGTACACCAGAGGAAACACTGAATAAAGAAAAAATGGATATTTTACTTTGAATATGGTCTCCATTTCATCTCTGTCTATCTTGCCATTTCCATCCTGATCAAAGAGTTTGAAGTACCACTTCAGCTTCTGGTTTATCTCTCCTTTCAGTAGAAGACTTACAGCTGCAATGTATTCTACAAAATCTATATAGCCATCCTGTGGAAGAAAAAAAAAGGAAAAATATAAAAAAAAGAAAGAAAATATATGAATATATAATACATACAAATTATAACATTAATTTTAAAAGGGCCTTTCAAATAGGATGCATTCTTGCATCGAACAATTAGAGCACAACTTAACAGAACAGAATGCAGGGATCTTCAGTTTAAAGAATGATCGTCACCAGCATAGTCAATGTCCGTGCACACCATCCGTATGCAGTGTGATTTTGTTACATAAAAATGTATTTTGAACTTGAATCAAACTTCTATTAACAATTTTTCTTACCAAAAAGTGGCACATATGCAAGCTGAGAATACATTGTGCACATGGTTAGAAAAATCTGACTAAGCCCCTACAGTGAATGTAATTTCACAGAGTACAGCATGTACATCCTTTTTGATCCTGGAACAACATTCCAATTAACCAATCAGAATTGAGGGATAAGTTTACAAGAAATGTCAGTTTTAGCCTTACAACCACACTTAGGTGCTTCTACACCCTTGTTATTCAGCTATCATTTCACACTGATTTTAGGGATAAATTATGGGTTAGTTTAGGGCTAGGTTTTTGGACAATAATGTTGATCCAGGACCAACAAAAGATGTTGACCCCACACCTTCATTGCTAATGATGACATTTGCGTCATGCACACTGTACACATAACCAAATATGCATAAAAAACGAAGTATGGCCTTGAGTTTTTAAGAGTTTTTCAATAGATGCTTGCCCGAACATATCCACATGTCTGAAAATGCCTAAAGCACCTTACTGCGTAAGCATAAAACGTGATAAAAGATAACTGCGATGATACTGACAGACCAGATATAATAAAGTGATCACACCATTTTTTCTGGCACAATCATTTTATTAGCAAAATATTCCACCACTCACTGTGTGTCCAGGCCATAAAATTACTATGGTCTAATACGCAACTATCATGTTTTTCCACAGGACAGCAACTGTACATTTTCGATCAGGAATATAAGTAACATTTATCTTTAACACCACTATGAATGTGAATAGCAAGCACAACTAGATATATTCTGTTGATATAAGGGTACAATATGTGTCAAATGACTAAACATGCGTCAGTTTCCGAACACTTCAATTTTCATCGTCTGCAATACACTTGAAAATGCTGTTTTCAAAACTTTACTACTTGGGAGAGCATCTTCAAAAAGTTTTCACTCGACAGAAATGCTGTCTAAGTGTGGCCGAAACACCAAAACAGAAAGAAGAATATACATTTTGGATTAAGGTGGACACCTAAAACTCAGACAGCTTAACAGGATTGTAAAATGGATTCCTGTGGACTGTAGGACAGTAATAGGCTTATGTTCAGTGATATATAAATGTCGTTTGATGATTTAACGGTTTATTTGTTTGTCACAATAATGACTTTTATCGTAAGTTTGGAATATTGATATGTGAATAATAAACCATTTGAACAATTTTTTTTTTCATAATCATTAATTTGGTTAACAATATAATACATTCAAAATGTATTCTTTCATGCACAAACATGAAGAGATTTTGGTGTCCTTTAAGATCAACTAAATGACCAATCTGCATAATATCCCTAAAATTTCCATTCACACATTTCTCTCACCCCATCCATGTCAAAGGTGAAAAAGACTTGATCCACATAGCTGTTGGCTTCCTCAGTCATCCCCTGCATCTGTAGCATGGTCTTGAGTTCAAAGAGCGTGATGAGACCTGATGGCGATTCCCTCATGAACTTGTTGTACCAGTGGTGCATGTCCTCAGCCAAGACTTCATCCAGGCTGGATCCGTGGGCACCCATACCTCCTCAGAGAGCCTCTTTCTAAATGAAATGTAGAATTGTTTTGTCAAATCCAGAAGTCCAACAGTAGCTGCAGTTTATTGAGTAAGAGCTGTGAACAGTTTGCTGCTCCAATCCAGGATTGACTGTTGATGACGGCACAGAGTCTAAAGCTATAATAATAATATTCTGTAGGTGAAACTACATTTTGAATATGTTTGGAATAAAATATCTTATTTAAATAATATAACATAAAATTAACTTGTTTGTCTTGCTATGGCTAATGTTAAAGTTATTTTATATATTTTATGTTAGCATTTTATAAAGTACACACAACAAAAATAAACTTTTTGTTAAACTTGACAAAATTACAGCTTAATTGGAAATGAAACGATAAAATATTGTCACTACTGTCAAGTTTTTTTTTTAAAGAATGACCTTTTACAGACAATAAATATTATTATTTAATGCTGCATGTCAGTAGTTGTAATTAAAACTAGTTAATTTTTTTAAATGGATATTTCATTGGCATTTAACCCTTTTTAGCCAAAGCAAGACTCACTTCTAAGCTCAACCCCAAGTGTCATGTTTATCCAACACACACTCATGTGTGACCCTGATCTCTGATCTGCATGAACTTTCACTGACATGTGCATGATCCATTCAGGAACACAAAGCGTAACCTCACGGATATTAAATGCAGAGGATAAATCAATCAGACTATCAAAGATCAGTGTCCCGTTATAGTAAATCTGGCTTCAGACGATTAACAATTTCCAAAACAGATTACATTCATTCTTTTGAGATTCTTGGGACTTCTTAAATAACATCCCCTGCAACATACAACCAAATGAAATGATAGAAATTTATGCTAAATACAGAAAATTCAGTAATATTTCTAATTTTGCAATATTTCTATTTAATTATAAGTATTTATTGGTTGAAGTCAAATGTGTCTCATTTGATATTTTAATATAAAAATGTATTATTTTTGTACAATCTGTTTAGACTATAAGGCAAACAGTTTTAACGTGATGTGTAAAATTGAAAAATAATCAGTAGCTTTTAGGATTCAAAATTGTGACTGATTGGAAACGTTAATAAAAGTTATTATTACTTTGTGTTGAAAACACTTCTCCAATAAAAATGCAAGTCATCTGCTCAGGACGTTCTAGTAATAAAAACCGGAGTAAATAAGTCGTAAAGTTGATTAATGGACAGATGGCATGGCCAAATCATGCCACTCTTGCCAATCTGATTTAAGCAGTAGCCTACTATGCTGATGACTGAATTAAATCTCCTGTTTTAATTCTCATTATCTCAATTTAATTAAGACTTTTACTTTACATGATGTTCAACATACACACTCAGTCATTAGGATTAAAATTGTTTAGTAACAGATCATTGCTTGGTTGGCATGCTGAAATTAATTTAGCCTGTGTTGTCATAAAGAAGCTTTAGCGGTGTTATCTGTACAGTGTAATATTGTTAAGAGATTATACTATTAGTGACAGCGTTAACTTTTCCCTATACTAAAAGGGCCTTTCAACGGCACAAAAGTGAATCTGGTAAACAGCGAATTAAAGTGATGTAGTTACGTAGATGTAGCAGAGATTGGGTTGAGTAACCGCTGGCACCACCATTCACTAAACACAAAATTTAAGGCTGAAAAAGAGCAGTACCGTCCCCTACAGGACACAAGAAACAAACTCGTGCAGAATGAACACTTGGAATATACTGAAACAAAATCTAATAATAATATACGAATATTTGATTTCTTGACAACAATACTGATAGCTGGTGGCTAATTCATTGCCATGAGTGTCAATTTAACACATTTAATATAAACAATTACAATCACAAAAGTGATTTGTGTTGTACTTGGCTTGAATGTGACGTGATATGCGATCATCGTTCTAGTCATAAATGAAAAGTCAAAGTACATGCTCGGAGTTTCGCCATTTTAAACAGACAGAACGGATTCTTTGCAATAAGCGATCATTAAGCGATATTAACTTCATGAAAAAGGTGGATGGTTTTTATTTACCTGGTTTTATGTATCCAACTTTTGATTAAGGTGACTGTTCAGGTCTCGAGACGCTTTACAGAAAAACGTCCTTGAAGAACGTATTCATTCTTATATGTGCTTGATAATGAACGTGTCTTCTGGGTTTTCTAAATCTTCAGCTGAATTAAATCTGCGATGTCCATCCAAAATCAGGGTGGAGACTCCATGGATGAAACAAAATCACCCGGAGATGAAGATTTTTATCCAAGATGCAGGTACTTTGAATGGACACTCTAATACATCTTATAAAAAAGGTTGGCATTAGCCCATTTCAATGTGATTTTATGTATTAAGATTTGTTTTCTATTCCAGTTCAGTCCAGCAGGAGAGATCAGATTCACCAGATTTCAGATGTGTATCTATGAGTGTCAGGTCTATTGAACAGCCAGTAAATATTAAGAATGGAGACACACAACCTGATCTCATGTATGAACATTGTATAAAACATATGATTATAGAATGACATTTTTGATTTATGGTGGGTAAATTTTAGATTTGTTCTTTATTCCAGTTCAGTCCAGCAGGAGAGATCAGATTCACCAGATTTCAGCTGTGTGTCTATGAGTGTCCAGTCTATTGAACAGCCAGTAAATATTAAGAATGGAGACACACAACCTGATCTCATGTATGAACACTGTATAAAATATGATTATAGAATGACATTTTTTATTTATGGTGGGCAAATTAGTTTTATTATATAACACTTTGTTAAGAAGTAGCATTCACAACAGTTTAAAAACTATTGATGGAATTATTAAGGTAATGAGAAAAAACTTCAAATATCAGTTTCCGATTCTTGATTCTCTTGATGATGTTAAGGTCAATCCATCCACCCAGATCAGACCTAACAGAACCTGTCTGTATTGAGGATGACGAGTTTATGAATCAACTACAAAGCACATATTCTGATTTCAGGTAAAATAATATGGTAATTTTATTTGTTTTAGATGCTATAATGGGTCATCACACATTACTCAAAAACATTATAACTGACCTAAAACTTCATGGAACTGATGATCTGTGTATAGTTTATTATGATGTAGAAAACAAACAAAAATGTTTAATGGAATAATTTGTTATTTTAACTGATACAGCTATGACTCTAATTCTGCTGAAGTCCTTAAGGCATTGAAATCAAATCTGAGGAAGACATTTCAGTGTCTGTATGAGGGAACATCAAAGCAGGGAAACCCAACACTCCTGAATGAGATCTACACAGATCTCTACATCACAGAGGCTGAAAATGGAGAGATCAGTAATGAACATGAGATGAGACAGATTGAGACACAATTCAAGAGAGCAGCAACAGAGGACACACCAATCAAATGCAATGACATCTTTAGACCTTTACCTGGACAAGACAAACCCATCAGAACTGTGCTGACAAAGGGAGTCGCTGGTATTGGAAAAACCGTCTCTGTGCAGAAGTTCATCCTGGACTGGGCTGAAGGGAAAGAAAATCAGGACATCCACCTCATATTTCCACTTCCTTTCAGAGAGCTCAATTTGATACAAGACCAAAAATGTAGGCTTTTAGATCTTCTTCAGTGTTTTTTCACAGAAATAAAAGAACTGGATATTTTCAGCAGTGAATATAAAGTGGCATTTTTCTTTGATGGTCTGGACGAGTGTCGTTTGCCTCTGAATTTTCACTGCAATGTGAAGTTGTGTGATGTACATGAATCAGCCTCAGTGGACGTGCTGCTGACGAACCTCATTGTGGGAAATCTGCTTCCCTCTGCTCTCATCTGGATCACCTCCAGACCAGCAGCAGCTGATCTCATCCCTTCTGAATGTGTCCATCGAGTGACAGAAGTGCGAGGCTTCAGTGACCCACAGAAGGAGGAATACTTCAGAAAGAGAATCAGTGATCAGAGTCTGGCTAACAGGATCATCTCACACCTTAAGTCATCAAGAAGCCTCTACATCATGTGCCACATCCCAGTCTTCTGCTGGATCTCAGCCACTGTTCTAGAGGAGATGTTGAGAGAAACAGAGAGAGGAGAGATTCCCAAGACTCTCACTCAAATGTACACACACTTCCTGATCATTCAGACCAACATCAAACATGAGAAGGACTATGAGAAGACAGTGAAAGATGAAGACATGATTCTCAAACTGGGGAAAATAGCTTTTCAGCAGCTTGTGAAAGGAAATCTGATATTCTATGAGGACGATTTGAGAGTGTGTGGTATCGATGTGACAGAAGCATCAGTGTATTCAGGATTGTGCACTCAGATCTTTAAAGAGGAGTTTGGGCTCTTCCAGGGGAAGGTGTACTGCTTTGTTCATCTGAGCATCCAGGAACATCTAGCAGCTTTATATGTGCACCTCTCTTTCACAAACAACAACCTAAATGTGTTTGATGAAATCTCCAAACTGAGACCACGGTTTAAAGTCTTGAACTTGATTCAGAATAATCCACCAAAACATGTTATATCTGAGCTGCATCAGAGAGCTGTGGATGAGACTCTGCAGAGTAAAAATGGACATCTGGACCTTTTCCTGCGTTTTCTTCTGGGTCTGTCAGTGGAATCTAATTATGTTCTTCTACAAAGTCTAATGAAACAGACAGGAAGCAGCTCTACCAGTAATAAAAAAACAGCTGAGTACATCAAGAAGAAGATCAGCACCAGTCGCTCTCCAGATAAATCTATCAATCTTTTCCACTGTCTAAATGAGCTGGGTGACCATTCACTAGTGGAGAAAGTACAAGATTATCTGAAATCTGGAACACTAAGTGACGCCAAATTATCTTCATCTCAGTGGTCAGCTGTAGTTTTTTTGTTGTTGACGTCAGAGACAAAGTTGGATGAGTTTTATCTTAAGAAATTTGTTGGAAGAAAAAATAAATCTGAAAATGTGAAAGTTCTTCAGAAGCTGCTGCCTGTGGTTAAAGAATCCAGATCAGTTCAGTAAGTATCTCTGAGAACAATCACTTCACTGTTAAAAGGATAATCCACCCAAAAAGCAAACCAGTATGAGTTTCTTGCTGTTGTGCATAATAAAAGAAGTTCCCTTTCGAACTTTCACTTCACGTTGTGTATGGGGAAAACTCCTGTTTTACTCTGTACTGAAGCCTGATTTGTTCACGTTTGTGTAGCTACACAAACCAATGGCGCTTTAGCACCCAAGAAAGGGCGGAGCCGACGTGTATATAAGTCGGCTCTCAGTGCCATTTCATCAGATCATTCTCCTTCAGCGACGAGGATCATCTCTTCGCTGACTCTGCAATCAAGTAGCCAAAGAAGGAAGAAGCTCAACCTGCAGCTCACCGCCGTAGAAAAGCCCCAGCAGCGGAAGAAGCTGTAAGCTTTCCCTGTGGCCATCCGGCACTTAAAAGAGCAAATTTCTGAGCAAAATTCTTAGCGACGTTGTTTCAAATGTCGCGCCGCGAGTGTGGCTCGTGCAGACAACCCTGCAAGATGCAGAAGGGCAGTGAGTGCATCACCTGTCTGGGCAGCGCCCACGCAAAGCCGCGCGCACACTGAGACGGCATGCTCTCACCCAGAGCATGAGTCTCGCTCTTCTCCGCTCGCGGACCACCTTCTTCAATGAAGGCAGCCCCGCTCTCCCGTTTCTCTTCTCTCAGTCAGCTCGGAGAAAGAAACAGTGGCGTCACGGGGCTTAGTAACCGGGTTTGAGTGATCCCATGCCGGCTCAGAGCCCGCATGCTCACTCTCCCTGCAGCACTTTGATCCGCCGGTGTGTTTACACGTAAGGATTAACGCCCCTCGAAGCTGAGCAACCGGGTTTAAGTGATCTCTCGGCAGCAAAGAGCTCGCACGCTCACTCTCCAGGTCTTGAACTTGACGCTTTGATCCGCCGACGTGTTTACACGTTAAAAAAATAAATAAACGTCCCTCTTTACATCGAGCGGCTCAATCCTTTTAGGCAGATCGGAGTGGAAGGCTGTCACTATGATTTCATATCGCACGGGACACGCCCTTGCTGAGGCTGCGCTCACTGACACAGTCTACTCTCACTATGGGAGTGTGTGTGTCTCGCTCTGCTCTCTCACGGTTGCCTTCTTCAATGAAGACGGCACTGCCCCTCCCGCTCTCACGTTCTCTCCTCCCAGTTGCCTCAGAGGAAGAAACGGCGAAGTCGCGGGGCTGAGATACCGGGTTTGAGTGATTACACGCCAGCAGTGCGTGTTTCACTCTCCCCACAGCGCGGATGCACACTGCACTTTGATCTGCCAGTGTGTTTACATGTGAGGATCATCAGCACCCCTCATCTAATGAGCGGTTTGATCTTTTAGGCGGATTATAGAGAATGCTGTCACCAATGATTACGGACAGATTGAACCATGACGCAGACATGCTGTCCAGAGGCAAGGTAGCCCCGGGCGGATGGGTGCTACATCCTCAAATGGTTAAAAAAATCTGGTCAGTCTTCGACAAGGCAGAGGTCGACCTCTTCGCCTCAGAAGACAACTCTCACTGCCCAACATATTTCTCGATACAGCGAGATGCTCTGACCCACGACTGGCCCAGTGCTCGCCTATACGCATGGCGACCCTTCATTCGCAAAATAGATCCTCTCGCATCCCGGCTATCGGCCTGGGCAGCCATACCGGATGGGTCGAGTTGGGTTCTAAACGCAATCCAACGAGGTTGCTCGCTTCAGTTCGCACGCAGGCCACCTTGTTTCAGAGGTGTTATGCAAACTTCTGTTTCGGACAACAAAGCGTTCGTTCTCCGACAAGAAGTGCAGACATTGCTTGCAAAAGGCGCTGTGGAAATAGTGCCCCCAGTGAACAGCGAGTCAGGCTGTTTCAGCCACTACTTCCTCGTTCCAAAGAGAGACGGTGGGCTCAGACCCATCTTGGTTCTGAGACATCTGAACTGCTCGCTTATGCGCCGGCCAGTCAAGATGTTAACTATCAAACAGATTTTTTTTTGAAAAAAAAAAGTTCGTGTTTTGAACTACCTCGACGATTGGCTTGTTCTAGCCAGATCAGAACGGGAGTTGGCTGCTCACAGAGAGCTGTTACTCAGCCACTTAGAGTGCCTCGGGTTGGTTATCAACCCGCACAAGAGTCACCTGTTGCCAGACAGCGTGCTGTCTTTCTGGTGACAATCTTAGACTCAGTCCGAATGCGGGTATGGATTACGCCGGAGCAATCCGAAGGGTGCACGGAGGCTGAATCCTCCTCGCCCTCAGACCATGTTGTACTTGGGACTTGTCTATAGTCCTGCGGGCCCTAAGAGGGCCCCCCTTCGAGCCGCTCATTTCGGCCGATTTGCAGCCCTTATCGCTTAAAATGGCCCGCCTCCTTGCCTTGGTGTCGGTTAAGCGAGTGGGTGACTTGCAAGCGCTGTCCATCAGCGCCTCATGTCTTGAGTTTGGGCCTAATGACTGTAAAATCGTTCTAAAACCAAGACATGTTATGTTCCTAAAGTGCTCTCAACTCCGTTCAGAGCTCAGGTGATCTCCCTTTTGGCGCTCCCCGTTACAGATGGTGAGCAGGGTCTGAACATGCTCTGTCCAGTAAGGGCTCTGAGAGTATACCCAGAGCGCTCTAGCCTGTCTAGGCAGTCTGAGCAGCTTTTCGTTTGCTTTGGAGGCCGCCATAAAGGACCGCCGGTTACAAAGCAGCGATTTTCTCACTGGATTGTCGATGCGATAGCCTTGGCTTACGCCTCAGAAGGCTTGCAATGCCCTATAGGTGTGAGGGCCCATTCCACAAGAGGGATGGCCTCCTCCTGGGCGTGGTCCAGCAGAATTTCTATTGGTGAGATCTGTGCGGCTGCCGGCTGGTCGTCGCTGTCCACATTTGCCAGATTTTATAACTTAGACGTCCCTGGTTTACAGGCGCGAGTTCTGTCTGTTTAATGTTCCACTCTTTCCCCTTGGGCGAAGTTGGTTGTATTGGTGCTTCTCAGCTACTAGCTTGGAGCACAATGTGCTCAGGTTCTTAGGGGTCCTTATTAGTGCTCCGAGACTGGGCTCGCAGAGCAGGATGTCCTGTATCTGCTCATAGCACGGCGTGATTGGATACGTTCCCCATACACAATGCGAAGTGAACATTCGAAAGGGAATGCTGACGTAACCTCGGTTCCCTGAGATAAGGGAACGAGCGTTGTGTCACTTGCCGTGCTATAAGCTGCACGTGAATCGATGACTGTCGCTTCAGTCGAATGATCTGATTAAAATGGCGCTGTGAGCCGACTTATATACACGTCGGCTCCGCCCTTTCTGGCGGGCTAAAGCACCATTGGTTTGTGCAGCTACACAAAAGTGAACAAATCAGGCTTTAGTACAGAGTAAAACAGGAGTTTTCCCCATACACAACACTCGTTCCCTTATCTCAGGGTACAGAGGTTACGTCAGCGGGCGATATTTTGAAAAATGTTGAAAAAAAAATCTTCAAAATATCTTATTTTGTGTTCAGCAGAAGAAGGAAACTCATACAGGTTTAGAACAGCTTGAGGATGAGTAAATGATGACAGAATTTTCATTTTTGGGTGAAATATACTTAAGGCTGGAATGTCTGCTGGATTGGAGAATGTGCACTGTAAACTGGAAATTCTGTGGTAAGAACATCTCTATATATACCTTTGTTCTCAACAATAAATGTCATTAATGTAAGCTTTTAAAATAAATGTTATAAATGTAATAATCATTAACAATTACCACACTACATCTGAGCACAAAATGACTCTTCATTTATCTCCATCACATCTTGTGATTTCCTACTCCTGTTTTTAAACCCCAATAGCCAAGCTTTTGGCTTTTTAAATAATACTCCTTTAGGGTCTTATTTTTATACTTGCTCTGGTATCAAAATATACAGTCGCCTATACTTACCCAACGATATAATTGCGAGAAAAAGTATTGAAATATTTTTTTATATTCCCATCTCGTAGGCTATTTATTCCCTTTAGGGTTTATGTAGTACACTTCATTTCCTTTCCGAACACGGAACTGGGATTGTGGGAGAGGGGGTGGGTGGGGGGTAGGAATCACGATGTCAGCTTAACATCGTGATGTCTGTCAGTCTAACATCGTCTATCGGCCCAACCCTAATATGCGATTTAGTGCTTTACTAATGTTTCACAAAGGTACAATCCAAAACATGATTTAAACACATAAACACATATGATACGCAAACTACAGTTCTCGGCTGGATAAAAGAAGCCAGTGTCGCACTAGTAGCCTAAAGTTTTGATGGATGACGATTGTAATCAAGGTAAACATGATTACAGTGACATACAGGATTAGGCGCGCGTGTCCGTTATTATTGATGCGCAAACAAACCGTGTGCGCACTTGGCGCACTGTTCACTAAAACATATTTCTGCTTGAACACAGCTCAGTATATTAACATAGTTGTATACAGCAAGTGTTTTACATGGATGAGTGTGTATTTTGGAGAAGTTTGTGAGGATCTGGTGTTTATGTACATATGGCCATCAGACGCAACACTGACACTATTGCATGTTCTGACAGAGGAACTATTCACTGATGACGTCGAGCCGCCTTCAGATCGTGGAGTTTCCACACATTTTTTTTTTTAGCAATCTTTGCAAATCGCCTTTCCTAATAATGTGCTAGTTAGCAAGTTCCATAGCTAAATGCGTCTAAAATTTACAGTCTAAAGCAGTGGTTCCCAACCCTGGTCCTGGAGGCACCCCATCACTGCATATTTTGCATGTCTCCTTTCTCTGACACACCAGTTTCAGGTCTTGGAGCAGGGCTGTCCAAACTTGGTCCTGGAGGGCCGGTGTCCTGCAGAGTTTAGCTCCAACCCTAATTAAACACGCCTGAACCAGCTAATCAAGCTCTTACAAGGCATAGAAACTTCCAGTCAGGTGTGTTGAGGCAAGTTGGAGCTAAACTCTGCAGGACACCGGCCCTCTAGGACCGAGTTTGGACAGCCCTGTCTTGGAGTCTCTACTAATGAGCTGATGACCTGAATCAGGTGTGTTTGATTAAGGAGACATGCAAAACGTGCAGTGTTGGGGTGCCTCCAGGACCAGGGTTGGGAACCACTGGTCTAAATAACTGCTCATCACCCCACGGAACGGAAGAGAGGGTCGGGGTGAGCAGAGCTCATAAGCATTTAAAGGGACATGGACCGAAACGGGTCGCTGTGAACAGAGCCGTTTTGACAAGGTAAAAAGGGTGTTGTTTTACACAACCATTGCGAAATTTTAACCAAAGTATGTTATAGAATTTTCATTAAGACCCTAAAGAATCATATAAACTTGTGGAAAATGGGCATCCGATGACCCCTTTAAGTTTGGGCAACAAAAGCGTCCATGCACAGAAATGTTTGTTTATGTTTTTGTTGTTGAAACCATCTATAAGAACAAAACAAGTGACTGATTTGCACTTTAAATGTGTTCTTCCTTTCTAATAATGGAATCACTGCTAAAGTGATCTATGATGATCTATGTCTTTGTTCTCTAATCTCTATAGATTGAGCGGCTGTGGCATCGCAAAACAAGGTTGTGAATTTTTGGCTTCTGCTTTAAAATCAAATCCCTCACACCTAAGAGATCTGCATCTGTCTGATAATAAACTAGGAAACTCAGGAGTGGAGCAGCTTTCTGCTGCACTGAAGAATCCTCACTGTAAACTGCAGAAACTGAAGTAAGGCCATATACTGCATGACTTTTGCACATAAAACACAAAATATATACAAATAAATGTAAACATCCAAAGTATATTTTAAGTATTTAGCTGCTGTGTGTTCAGGTGAGTGAGCTGTAAGTGTTTAAACACATCAGCTACTACTCAGTAACTTGATACTGATAGTCACACTAAACTACACACTTTCACATCACAGTCAACATTTAAATCTCATGACTTTAAACAGACTCAACCTCAACACAGTAAGAACTATGACAAATGAAGGCAATGTTGTGCAAACACACACAAACACAAATCACAACTCCATACATATTTGTACAGTTTAAATAAAGGTAAACTCACCTATGTAATGAATGTTATCAATGTTGCATGACAATACAGATATCTAAAAAAAAAAAAAAAAGAAGAAGAAATATTATTAATTATACTGCTTGAATGAGTCTTAAGATTGTACCATAGATTGTGCATGTGACATTTTAGACTTCAGTTCAATGATCCATCAAATAAGGATTTGATAGGTGATGAGTTAGTTTTTTTCTCTTTTACGGTTGACCTCTGTGTTCTGATGAGAGTGTCATAAGTGTGCCATTGTTTTCTACAGGTTGTCTAATTGTGGTGTCACAAATAAAGGCTTAGCTGCTCTGACGTCAGCTCTGGCATCAAACCCATCACACCTGAGAAATCTGAATCTGGCTGAGAATAAACTACAAAATTCAGGAGTGGAACTGCTCTCTGATGTACTGGAGAATCCTCACTGTAAACTGGAGATACTGTGGTAAGATCATCAATTCATTAGCAGATGAAGCATGATGCCCCATACTTAATGTATGTGAGTCACAATATCATCTTGTCTCTGCAAGCCTGTTCAGTGCTTTTTGTTCTTGCACATCAACACCAAAATTGGACTATTTTATATCAATGTTTGGGTAGACTTTAAAAAATTGCTGACGTGACTGTTAATTGGACAGTGGGCTTTCAATAATAAACTCTGTATGAGTGAATAGTGTTATTCTTCTCTACAGGTTGAGGAGGTGTAATGTAACAGATGCAGGCTGTGATGATCTGGCTTCAGCTCTGATATCAAACCCCTCACACTTAAGACAGCTAAATCTGTCTTGGAATAAACTAGGAAATGCTGGAGTGAAGCTGCTCTCTGATGTACTGGAAAATCCTCAATGTAAACTTGAGTTACTGTGGTAAGATCATCTCTCTTTATCACCTTTCTCCTAAGTAAAACATTATTTATTATAATGTAATAGTTTAACTGTTTAACTCAGTCTATACTTATAGTGCTGTTAAAGACACTGGATTTAACTTGTTGCCGATAAAAAAAAAATCTAATTTGATTTTCTTTTATATTAGTACATAGAGTCCAGTCAATATTCACACTAGGTCCACAAAACAATAAATGAGAGAGAGAGAGAAAAAAAAGAGTATATTGTATTAATATATTAAAGGAATAGTTCACCCAAAAATCTAAATTCTGTCATTAATTATTCACCCTCATGTCGTTTCAAACCGGTAAGACCTTCGTTCATCTTCGGAACATGAATTAAGATATTTTTGATTAAATCTGAGAGCTCTCTGACCCTCCATAGACAGCAAGGGTACTACCACGTTCAATGTCCAGAAAGGTACCAAGAATATTGACAAAATAGTCCATGTGACATCAGTAGTTCAACTGTAATTTTACGAATCTACAAGGATACTTTTTTGTGTGCAAAGAAAACAAAAATAACTTTATTTAACAATTCTTCTCCTGCACTTCACAGCGTATGCGCGTGCTTTCCTCTGAACGTAAACATGACGCAGCTCATGCATGTTCTAGGTCAGCAGCACCACGTGCATGCGTTGTTTACATGCAGATCAAAGTATGCACATGCGTCGGGATACTCTCCTTCACACCTATAGGACATTGCAAGCCAACCATAGCATAAGCCAGGGCTATAGCATCCACTATCCAGCGAGATAGTCTGCTTTGTGACTGGCAGCCCTTTCAAGAAGCCTCCAATGCAAACAAAGAGCTGCTCTGATTGTCTGAACAATTCAGAGCGCTCAACGTACAGTGCCCTAACAGGATACAGTAAGTTGGGACCCTGCTCGCCATTCACCGAAAGGAGAGCTAACAGGGAAATAACCTGGGCTCTGAACGGAGTTGAGAGCACCTTAGGTACGTAACCGCTTTGTGGTTGGAGAACGACTTTAAAGTCGTTAGGTCCAAACTCAAGACAAGAAGTGCTGACAGAGAGCAATTACAAGTCACCTACTCTTTTGACCAATGCCAAGGCCAAAAGCAGAGCAGTTTTGAGTGACATGGGCCACAGATCAGCTATGTGAAATGGCTCAAACGGAGGGCCCTTAAGGGCTCTTAGGACTATAGACAAGTACCATGTCCGCACAGTTCTAGGGTGAGGCGGGTTCAGTCTCCGAGTTCCCCTAAGAAACTTAGTGACCAGGTTGCATCTGCCAATTGACCGGACAGCCACGAGAGAATGATTCGCTGTGATGGCTGCCACGTAAACTTTGAGTGTGGAATGGGTAAAGCCCTTGTCCAACAACTCCTGAAGAAAGGTACACAGGAATACGGATCCAGGCTTCGTGTTGAACACCAGTCACAGAAGACAGACCATTTAAGGGTGAAAAGGTGTCTTATAGACACGCTCTAGCCTCTAGAATGGTATTAGTAACTCTCGCGGGAAGCTGGCTAGACTCCTGTTGAGGGGCCAAACATGAAGACTCCACAGCTGTGGCTGGGGGTGCCAAATCTTGCCCCTAACTTGCGAGAAAAGGTCTCTCCTCAGCGGTATTGGCCACAGGGTTGCAGACAGCAGCTGAATCAGTTCTGGGAACCAAGTCAGGTTTTTCCATAGAGGGGCCATCAGAAGGAGAGAGCATTTAATTTCATGCCTTGTCGAAAACAAGCCCAGGACATGAATCGCTCTTAATGAGAGGAGTTTCCTCTGTACCCAAAGCAGGAGCTGTTGAGTCATCCTGTAAAGGGGACGTGACCTTGAGGCCGCCTTGGTGATTGATATAAGCTACCACTGTCATTGTTCGAACAGACCAGGATGTGATGTCCCTTTAAGGCTGGCAGGAATGTTTTCAGGGCCAGACAGACTGCCATTATCTCGAGGCAGTTGATAAGCAGGAGTTGCTCGTGGATCGACCAGGAGCCAAATGGCGGGTTGCCATCGTACAGAGCGCCCCAGGCCGAGTCAAGTCATAGCCACAGCCATATCACCCTGCATATCACTGTTAGTGAGGCCAGCAGGGGGTGCTCACCCTGTGGCCTGCGTGGGTCCTAACGCCCCAGTATAGTGATGGGGACACTAAACTGTCAAAAAGCACCGTTTTTCGGATGAGATGTTAAACCGAGGTCCTGACTCTCTGTGGTCATTAAAAATCCCATGGCACTTCTCGTAAAGAGTAGGGCCAAAAGCAGAGCAGTTTTGAGTGACATGGGCCACAGATCAGCTATGTGAAATGGCTCAAACGGAGGGCCCTTAAGGGCTCTTAGGACTATAGACAAGTACCATGTCCGCACAGTTCTAGGGTGAGGCGGGTTCAGTCTCCGAGTTCCCCTAAGAAACTTAGTGACCAGGTTGCATCTGCCAATTGACCGGACAGCCACGAGAGAATGATTCGCTGTGATGGCTGCCACGTAAACTTTGAGTGTGGAATGGGTAAAGCCCTTGTCCAACAACTCCTGAAGAAAGGTACACAGGAATACGGATCCAGGCTTCGTGTTGAACACCAGTCACAGAAGACAGACCATTTAAGGGTGAAAAGGTGTCTTATAGACACGCTCTAGCCTCTAGAATGGTATTAGTAACTCTCGCGGGAAGCTGGCTAGACTCCTGTTGAGGGGCCAAACATGAAGACTCCACAGCTGTGGCTGGGGGTGCCAAATCTTGCCCCTAACTTGCGAGAAAAGGTCTCTCCTCAGCGGTATTGGCCACAGGGTTGCAGACAGCAGCTGAATCAGTTCTGGGAACCAAGTCAGGTTTTTCCATAGAGGGGCCATCAGAAGGAGAGAGCATTTAATTTCATGCCTTGTCGAAAACAAGCCCAGGACATGAATCGCTCTTAATGAGAGGAGTTTCCTCTGTACCCAAAGCAGGAGATGTTGAGTCATCCTGTAAAGGGGACGTGACCTTGAGGCCGCCTTGGTGATTGATATAAGCTACCACTGTCATTGTTCGAACAGACCAGGATGTGATGTCCCTTTAAGGCTGGCAGGAATGTTTTCAGGGCCAGACAGACTGCCATTATCTCGAGGCAGTTGATAAGCAGGAGTTGCTCGTGGATCGACCAGGAGCCAAATGGCGGGTTGCCATCGTACAGAGCGCCCCAGGCCGAGTCAAGTGATAGCCACAGCCATATCACCCTGCATATCACTGTTAGTGAGGCCAGCAGGGGGTGCTCACCCTGTGGCCTGCGTGGGTCCTAACGCCCCAGTATAGTGATGGGGACACTAAACTGTCAAAAAGCACCGTTTTTCGGATGAGATGTTAAACCGAGGTCCTGACTCTCTGTGGTCATTAAAAATCCCATGGCACTTCTCGTAAAGAGTAGGGGTGTAACCCCGGTGTCCTGGCCAAAATTGCCCCCCTGGCCCTTGTCAATCATGGCCTCCTAATAATCCCCAACCCCTTGATTGGCTCTATGACTTTCTCTCCTCTCCACCTGTTGCTGGTATGTGGTGAGCGCACTGGCGCCGTTGTCCTGTGGCTGCCGTCGCATCATCCAAGTGGATGCTGCACACTGGTGGTGGTTGAGGAGAGACTCCCCCACACGATTGTAAAGCGCTTTGGGTGTACAACAATACACAATAAAAAAGCACTATATAAATGCATCATTCATTCATTCAGTCTTGGAAGGGCAGCAGGCCCAGGGGAATCAGTGAGGTGACGGCCGACATGAGGCCGAACAAACTCTGAAACACCCTGAGGGGATGCGCAGTCCCCAACTTGAATGACGCTGCCACTCACTGAATATTCAGGAAGTGTTTCGGCGTAATCCAGGCTCGCATTTGAACTGAGTCTATAATTGTTCCCAGAAAGGACACTCGTTGTCTGAGAAATTCGCTGTAAACTCTTAGCTGAATTGATTCTCAACCCAAGACGCTTCAGGTGGTTGAGCAACAACAACCTGTGAGCTGTAAGTTGCCGTTCTGTTCTGGCTAGCACCAGCCAGTCGTCAAAGTAATTCAAGATGCGGATTCCCATCTGTCTCAAAGGGGAAAGAGCCGTGTCCATGCTCTTCGTTAAAGTGTGAGGAGCCAGAGATAGTCCGAACGGTAGGATTGTGTATTGATAGGCCACTCCCTCGAATGTGAATCTCAAGAACAGTCTGTGACAGGGGCTTTGTATGTGAAAGTATGCATCTTTCAGATCCACAGACAGAAAACCGTCCTCGGGACATATTTCCATGAGTATCTGTTTCAGAGTTAACATTCTGAACGGCTGTCACATGAGAGAGCGATTCAGATGTCTGAGATCGAGAGTTGGTCTGAGCCCGCCATCTTTCTTGGAAATGAGGAAGTATCGCTGTAAAAACCTGACTTGCTGTTTGCTAAAGGGACCATTTCTATGGCACCTTTTGTAAGCAATGTTTGCACTTCGGACTGAAGAACATGTGCTTCGTTGTCCCGTACCAAAGTGTGCACAACACCTCTGAAACGAGGCGGCCTGCAATCAGACTGGAGGGAGTAACCTCGTTGTATGACTTTTAAGACCCAGCTTGACATGCAGGGAATGGCTTTACAAGCCAAGAGCCGGGTGGCAAGTGGTTCCATTTTTATTAATGCCAGTTCGCCGTGCTGAGATGGGGAGCTGACATTTGTGATTGCAGGGAGAGGAGAAAAGCTTTTTTTGAGTATGTGGGTCTGCTATCACAGCAGTAATTTGCTGGGGCACACGCTGAGCTTGCAGGATGTGCACGGCTGAAAAACCTCCACCGCTCAGAGATATTCGAAAAGGTGGGGAATGACTTCAAGCTTTCTTTTAGGGGGTTCCGGCCTTGGCAAGAACTAGCCCTCTCCTCTTCCTCTCTGCACTCAGAACAGGATGGCTTCTGTGGGTCAGGGTCCAGGGTTACTCGAGGGCAGGGACCTTGGCACTTCGGGAAGGGAAACTTTGCCATCGGGGTGCGCTGTTGAAGCCCAGGCTCCGGCTTTAGCAGGGGCTTAGGCGGCGCCTACTTTGCAGCCTGCTTGGTGGACGATGTCTTGGGGTGACTTGCAACAGCCTCTGAGAAAGAAATCAAGCTGTTCACAGCCGATGAGGGGTGTTGATCCTCCCGTGTGAAGCACACTGGTGAAACGAGAACGAAGTGCACAGGGTGCTGAAGGCGCCTTCATTAAGGAAAGCGATCCGCGAGCGAAGACAGGAGAGAATCATATTTTCGCAATGAGAACATGAAGTCTCAGTGAGCGCAGTCTCTGTGTGGGCACCACCCCGACAGGCGACGCACTCACTATGCCCATCTGGATCGTTTGAGAGTTCCTTGGATTTTCTTAGGAAATTTGCTCATATTTACTCTATGGGAATAGCCGGATGGCCGCAGGAGAAGGCTGGATCTCTTCTGCTGCTGGGACTCCTTCTATGGCAGAGAGCAGGAAAGCCTCTTCCTTCTTAGCCTTCTTGATTGCAGTGTCAGCGACGAGATGTTTTCATCGCTGAAGGATAAGATTCTGATGAGATGGCGCTGTGGGCCGACTTATATAGCAGTTGGCTCCTCCCGTTCTGGCGGGCTCAAGCACCATTGGTTTGTGCAGCTACACAAGCATTAACAAATCAGGCTTCAGTATCCTCATAACCGTCAAGCGACGCAACAGGAGTTCCTGTTCGATAGGGAACTGTTTGTACTACAAACCAGTGTGTTCATAATTAAGTGTGTGTGTGATAATTATTATAGTGTGTTCATAATTAATACATTAAAATAATATGATAAGAAACACCAGTTTGCAAAAATAGCTGAAAGCGAATGAGACCGGAAGCCAGACAAATTAAATTTACAAATGACTGCGCCCGCTTTTGCGGGAAAAATAAGGTGGATATAAACCATAATTTCCGTCCAACTGTCAGCACACTTGTGATGTAAGCTTGTTGTGAAACTTCTCTAGGTTATTCATTAGCCACATTCTATAACAACCCACATTTCCAGCACGTATAGCATCAGGTTAAACGTGTTTGCAGGCCATTGACTGCATTACTGAAGTCATTTTTACACACTGCTTACACAGTATCATTGTGCAAACTACAAAGTGTGTAATCATCTTCCCTACAGGCTGATTAATTGTGGTGTCACAGATGAAGGTTGTGTTGCTTTGGCTTCAGCTCTGAGATCAAACCCTTCACACCTGAGAGAACTGGATCTGTCTTATAATAAACTAGGAGACTCGGTAAAGCTGCTTTCTGCTCTAAAGGATGATCCATATTATAAACTGGACAGACTAAACAGTTATTGTGAGTATATTTCATACAATTACTATATACAATATTTGCACCACCCCCCCCCCCCAC